AATAAGAGATAACTTTCAAAATCTTTAACAGAATTTTACAAAGGACTGAGTTATAGACTCTTATTGACCCCAGCTGAACCAGATGAAAAAAAAGTGGTGATATATTGTTTATGATCTAATAAAGCTTGCCTGAAGATGAGACTGCAAAGCTAGCCACAGCCATAGAGGCTAAGCAGTGGTGGCATACGCCTTTAATCCCAGCACTAGAGAGGTATATAAGACAGGAACAGGGTCTCAGAGCTGGCAATTAGTTCCAGCCATATCAAGGACAGGCTTGCCCCAGCCTTGGTAGAGGAAAGAGTTTTCTGGTGGCTTGGCTGCTTTGATTCTCTGATCTTCACCTTGAACCCCAATATTTGTCTTGGAGTTTATATTATTCATGTTACAGAAAAACAGTACTACAATTATTACTGGTGTATATCAATTCATAAGATTGCTGTCTACCTCTAATTCTACTCTTACAAGACAATAATTGTTAGAGCATACATGTATTCATCTTGGGTCATGGGCATGGATGGTACCATAACTTAGCAATTACAGCTATGCATTAGTTTAGATTGTATGCATTGATCACATGGGAAATCGTAGACTAATAAGTTACTTCTTACATTGTTCTCTTAAAGATAGGTTAAACAAGCAGGCTAAATACACGGTAGATAGCAGTCTTAAGTCTCAAGTAAGGTCCAGTTGTATTATTAATTCTAGATATGAGAGCCAGCAAAAATTCCAGTCTCTTGGAATCCCCTTGGAAGAAAAATCACAAAAAACAAAACACACACACACACACACACACACACACACACACAAAAAAAAAAAAAAAAAAAAAAAAAAAACGGCAACAACAACACTGAAGATAAACTGGAGGAAATAGATTCATCAACCAAAGAAAACCTTCAGTCCAAAATTCCCTAACACAAAACATCCAGGAGATGTGGTACACTGTGAAAAGGACAAACCTAAGAATAATAGGAATAGAAGGCAAGGAAGCCCAGCTCAAAGGTACAGAAAACATATTCAACAAAATCATTGAAGAAAATTTTCGCAATATTGTTGGACCCTAATTCTGGGGTCCTGAATGGCTGGTGGGAGAGCCCCGTGACACAAACACCAAAATCAGGAGATACAGTAAGCAAGAGGTGTTTATTGAATGCATGCACTTTGGTGACAGTAATCTTGGGGAAAGCTTCACCCCCCCAAAGGGTTTAGGCTCTCTTTTTATAGAGAAAGACCACAATCAGCATACATGCATGGGGCACAAGGTGATTAATTACAAAGTATGATCTCATGTTTGAGAGATCACCCAGGTATGACCTATTTTTATTTAAAGGATAAACAATAGAATGACTTGGAAAGTCCCCAGACTGACTGTTAGCCAGGAGTGACCCAAACAAGGCTGATCATCTGGAATCATTTGTTCCACGGTGGGGGCCTATTTCCTTGTTGTGGGCCCAGACCTGTGAGAAACTTTTTTCATACTCTGGCTTTCTCTTGGCTGTACATTTAGAGCCTTCAGTTATTTCACAAAAGATTGATGATTCAGTTACTAGCCCTATTTAACAAGATCAGTCTAGCCCCATCACCACAGTAACCTTTATAGTTCTCATAATTTCTGTCTTTTCCTCCCATGTCAATGTCCATTCTTTATGATTTTCTATATTCTGCTTGCAAGAATTACTCTTCTGCTCCTTTCATATATCCTTGTCCTGCAAATTAAAATCTTTCAATCTGAAGAAAGACATGCCCATGAAACTACAAGAAGCATACCGAACACCAAATAGACTGGACCAAAGAAAAAAGACCCCTCGACATATAATACTCAAAACACATAACATACAGAATAAAGAAAGAATATTTAGAGCAGTGAAGGAAAAAGACCAGGTAACTTATAAAGGCAGATCTATCAAAATTATACCTGATTTCTCCATGGAAACTCTCAAGGCCAGAAGGTCCTGGATAGATGTTCTACAAGTACTAAGAGTCCACAGATGCCAGCCCAGGCTATTATACCCAGCAAAAATCTCAATAACTATACATGCAGAAAACAAGATTTTTAATGACAAAGCCAGATTTTCACAATATGTATCTACAAATCCAGTACTACAGAAAGTTCTGGAAGGAAAACTCCAACCCAAGGAAGTTAACTATGCTCATAAAGACATAGGCAGATAATCCCACTTCACCTGAACCCAAGGGTAAAAGCAGGGCAAATATATTCACAATACCACTGCCAACAATGAATCTAAAACAAAAAGCATTAACAATCAATGGTCCTTACTTTCCCTCAACATTAATGCCTATAAAAAGACACAGACTAACAGAATGGATACGAAGACAGAATCCATCCTTTTGTTGCATACAAGAAACACATCTAATCTTCAAAGATAAACATTACCTCAGGGTAAAGTGCTGGGAAAAGATCTTCCAATCAAATGGACCCAAGAAGCAAGCAGGTGTGGCTATCCTAATATCTAACAAGTTGGACTTCAAACCAAAATCATTCAAAAGAGATGAAGACGGTATTCATCACAAGAGAAATCCATAAGCACAAAGTCTCAATCCTGAACATCTATGCCCCAAATCCAAAGGCACCCACATTCATAAAAGAAACACTACTAAAACTCAAAGTTCACATAAAACTTCACACACTCATAGTGGGAGACTTCAACACCCAACTCTCAACGCTAGACAGGACCAGCAGTCAGAAACTTAACAAAGAAACAAATGAACTAACAGAAGTTATGTCTCAATTGGGTTTAACAGACATCTATAGAACATTCCATCCAAATACAAAAGAATATACCTTCTTCTCAGCTGCACATAGAACCTTCTCTAAAATCAACCACATACTAGGCAACATAGCAAACCTTAACAGATGGAAAGAAAAAAATTGGAATAACCCCCTGTATCTACCACGGACCTCCTACAGCTGAGAAACACCTTCAGCAAACTAGCAGGATACAAGATAAACTCAAAAAAATCAGTAGCCCTAGTACATACAGGAGAAAAAGGGGCTGAGAAAGAAATCAGAGAAACATCACCCTTTATAATAGCCACAAACAGCATAAAGTGTCTTGGAGTGACACTTACCAAATAAGTGAAAGACCTATATAGCAAGAACTTTGTGTCTTTAAAGAAAGAATTTAAAGAAGCAGGACTTTGATAGCACATTCCCCAGGAGGGATACTCCCTTAACCTAGAGGCAAGAGAAAAGGCCTAGTTCTTACTCCAAATGACCTGACAGATTTATATGACCCCTCCTGGAAGGTATCACCCTCCCCAGTGGAGTGGGGGGGGGAATGGGAGAGTGGGAGAGAGGGAAAGAGGGAGGGCGGAAGAGGGAACTGGGATTGATATGTAAAATAAAAATTATAATAAAAAATGAAATAGTGATATGTTTGTGTGTCAAGTTGATATGGGGTCAGATGTGGTGATCAGTTTTCGTCACCTGAAAAACTGGAACTTCAAATGAAAAATTATAGCCATCAGATTGGTATGTGAGCATGCCTGTGGAATATTTTCTTGATTTCTAATGAAAGGAGAAGAGCCTAATCTGTTATGAGCAGTTACACCCTAAGCTTGTAGTTCAGGGTTCCAAATAAATGTACTCCAGCAAGCAGCAGAAACAGGCCTGTGAGCAGCATTCTCCTTGAACTCTGCTTCAGCTTCTGCCTCCAAGTTCCTGATTAAGGTCCTGCTCTGACTTCTCTCAATAATGCAACATGATATAGACATGTAAGTCAGAAAAACCATTTCCTCCTGATACTGCTTATGGTCATGGTGTTTATCATAGCAACAGAGAGCATATTAAGACTCTAATAAAATTTAAGTCAGGGCTTCTTATGCCTCCAGAATTGCTATTGCCTTCAGGGTTGCTTGGAGTACACTGTGGTTTTGTGCTTGTATATGAATTTCTGAATTATTTTATTGTACAGTGAACAATGTCATTGGGATTTAGATAGGAGAGCATCGAATCTATAAACTGTTTTGGTAATATAGCCATCTGAACAGTATTAGTTATCCCAATTCCTGACCATGGAAGACTTTCCATCTTTACTGTCTTTTTCAATTTGCTCAATGTCATTGTTTCTATTCTAAGACAGTATTTTTTAAGACATTGTGACTAAAAATTTTCTAATTTCTTTCTAGGCAAGTTTCCTATTGGTAAATAAAAAAGCAACTGGTTGTTGTATGTTGATTTTGTATCTTTCTATTTTGGTAAAACTGTTGATCAGATATAAGGATTATCTGGTTGATTTTCATAGTCTTTAAGTCTAATATCTTGTCCTTTGTAAGTGAAGACAATTTGACTTCGTCCTTTGCTATTTATAGCCTTTTAATTTCTCTTTTCTCACCGATCTGAGACTTGGAAACACTATGTTGCATTACAATGAAGAGAGTGCTTAACCTTAACTTGTTCTATGATTTAGAGAAACTGTTTTAAGATTTTTCAGCATTTAGTGTAGTGTTGGTTACAAATTGGTCACATATAGCTTTCATCGTGCTGAGATGTACTCTTTCTATAGTGGTAGAAGAATTTCTTCATCTACTGTGGTTTTGGTATTGAAGTTAATTGCGTGTTGTTTGACATGTGCTAATTTTTATATGCTGAGGCAAGCTTGCATCCATGGGATGAAGAAATGATATAACTATCATTGTGTGCTGTTCAGTTATGTAAGATGTAAGATATTTTTTAAACATTATTAAATACCATTTGAAAGTGATTTAGTAAGAATTTTGCATCTCTGATCATCAGGAAAATAGATCTTTGGTTTCCCTTATTACTGTGTCTCTTGCAGACTTTTTGTTTTTTTAATCAGCAAGATACTGACTTTATTTAACATGTTTAATCATGTCACTTCCATTGGTATTTTGTGGAACAGTTTAAGAAGTATTTATCATAGACCTTCACTCAAAGTTTTATAGGGTAAGCAGTAAATCCTCCAATCCTGTTATTACTTTGTAGGGAACTTTCAATTATTGTTTTAGTGCTCATAACATACCTTCCCCCAGGAAACGTGGAAGTGGAGAGAAATTCATGTAAGTTGTACTCTGACATCTACAAAAATATGAGTACTACCCCAACACACAAAAATAAATCAATACATGTTTAAAAAAACAGTGCCCAAATCTAATTGTTTCTTGTGTCAGTTGTTTATAACTTCTTGATATAATTTTCATTAGTTATGTATGTCTAAAAATTTGTTTCTTCTAGATTTCCAACGTTAATATGATTTTAAGATTTCTTTAATAATTTTCTGAAGTATACTGATCTGTTTTCAAACTTGTTTTCCATCTAATTAGAGTCTTTTTAAAGCCTTCCTTCCTTTTTTTATTTTGAACTATTTCACTCTTTTCTTTTTTTAAAAATTTTTAAAATTTATTTTATATAACAAAGTCCATTTAAATGAAAACAAACATTTATAGACAATATTTGGGAATGTGGGCGTCATTCTTTCCAAACTACTTCCTGCTGGTTAGGGGTCTCTGTCATGGGGGATTTGAAGAAGATTCAGAAATCCTGGCTGTAGTCTGTAAGGCTGCTTTGTCCAGCTGTTTTGAATATAGGATCACCTGGTACTCTGTTTCAGGCAGTCTGGCTTGATCAAACCACATTAGTCTGGAAGGAATCCACATCTTTTCATTTTCTATGGAAACAAAAATAGAAATCCTTTTCCTCAGTAACTTGTCCTTGAACTTAAATTTTGGAGTCAAAGCATTTTTTTTTAATTTAATTTATTATTTTACATGTCGATCCCAGTTCCCTCTCCCTCCCTCCCTCCCTCCCTCCCTCCTTCCCTCCCTTTTACCCTTTCGGCCCTCTCACATGCACTCTAACCAACCTCCCCTCCCATTCCTCCACCCCAATTCCATATTTAGGGGAATGCCATCCAGTTGGGGTCATGTAGATCTGACAGGTCATGTGAAGTAGGGACTAGGGCTTCTCTCCTGTCTCTAGATTAAGGCAGTTATCCCTCCATGGAGGATGTGTTCGTAAAGTCCTTTTGTGCACCAGGGATACATCCTGGCTCCACTGTCTGAGGTCCCTTAGACTGCTCAGTCCTTCTGGCTGAGACCCATATTCAGGGGGGCCTGAGTCAGTCCCATGCTGGCTTCTGAGCTATCAGTGTGGGGGACCCGTTAGCTCCTCCTTGTTCAGGTCAGCTATCTCTATGTGTTTCTGTAGCCTGGTCTTGTCCATCTCCATCTGGGTTCTAGTTCGACTCAGTGTTTATTTATGGGTGCTTGATCCTGTTTCCAACAGGCATTAGTTGAGGGATCCATGGATAAGTTAGTTGTTGATCTCACTCTCCGGGAAGGGCATTTATGATAGCCTTTCCACAGAAGCTCAAATTGTTAGTTGGGAGCAGTCTTGTAGTTCTCTAGACCTTTCTTTGTGTTCAATTTTATCTTCAAACCAACATTGGCTCCCTCTTTTATGTTCTCTCTCTCTCTGTCTCTGTCTCTCTCTCTTTCCTATCTTCTATTCCTAACCAGGCTCAATCTTCCTGGTCACTCTTTTCTTTTTTTGAATCTGACAAATTTGGCATTTTCTATAGAATCAAGTATTCATTTGAATCATTAATATTTATTTTTCCCTGCAATCTATTGCATCAGGACTTGGATTGTTCTTGTTTTTTCTGGAACCTTTAGGTGCATCCATTATCTGGAACATTTAGGTGCATCAAATTTATCTGATTGTGTGTGTGGTGTGTGTGTGTGTGAGTGTGAGTGTGTGTGTGTGTACTTGTTATAAACTTTCATTTTGCAAAGGCCTTCACAGAGGTTCTTCTAAATGGTAATATAAACTTTTATTTCTTTTAGGGCACAGTCCTACACCTTTATGCATGATCTCATATTCTAAGTGAGGCCATGCCTTCTTCCAGAGCTCTCTAGGACATAGGAGTCTTTGCTGTGATTTGACATCTATCCACTTCTAATATCTGGCTCCTCTATTCTTCAGGCCTCATAACCTCTCTGACCTAAATCATGTGATATAAAACTTCCTGCCAACCCCAAAAGATTGTGAAAAGTCAAACTTTCCCTTTCTTCTAAGGATTGGTCAAGGATGCAAGGGGAGGTGAAGGCTGCTTTCTGCTTTCTCTGGCCTTCTCCTGCCATCCCTTTTATTACAGCTGTCTCTCTCACACACCCTTTCTTTATCCCTCTGATTCTCACTCTTAATGAATTGCCCTTCCAGTCTTTAAAGAAAGCCTCTATTTCCATTTAAGGCCCCAAGCTTTGCAAAAATCTCCAGATACAATATTGTTTCTGTCTAATACTAAATTCCAATAAGGCTCAATAGTGCTATCGAGAAGTTTTTGTTATAATAAACTTCATTAAGAGATTTGTGCCAGCTTCTTTTGCAGACCTTCCACTACTGCTGTTTTATTTCTTTTTATTTAATAATTTTTTCAATGGTTTTGAAAAGAATTCACCCTCCTTTCTTCAATGACTCACTCTCCAGTTTCCCTGCTTTTGGTAATTTTTATGGCTTCTCTTGTTTCATGGTATTGTGGTTTGATAAGTTAAGGTATTAGGAACCATTTGTTTTATAAATTATTTTCATCTTGCAGTAGATGACAGTCTTATGTTTTTCTTGCACCTGGTAAAATTTAAATGTGTCAGCACTAGGGTAGAAACTGCTGAAACTGAAGTTTGTAGTTTATTAAAGCCAAAGCAAAATAAAAAGGGGAAAAAATGAGTGAGAGTGAGAAGTCAAGTGTGTGGGTGAAGGATCTGAGATGCAGTAGAAAAAATATTCTGTATGCTGACATAGGAAATAATTTTCACTTCAAAGGAGTAAAAACTGGTTTATTCTGGAACCAAATATTAGTGGTCACAGCCCGAGAAAACAGATTTAAGTTCCCTCAATCCCATGTTTGCTCCAATGAGGCAGGAATTTATGAACTTTTTATAGTAACCAAACAAACAAAGCTATAACTCAAAATAGTTTTCAAATACATTGGTGGGTACATCAAGTAGGCAGGTTATATAGCAAGCTGTGGAAAACTCTGCTATTAGTCTTGGATGCTGTCTGAAAATACCCTTAGCCCACTGATTGGTAGAAATCTAGGGTGTTCTTAGGGTAATACATTCCAAAAGATTTTTATCTGTTTGTCAGGACATTAGTTCTTGCCACAAAGGGGCAAGGAATGCCTATTTGGAGTGTGGTAGAGTTAAAAATGTCAACATACAAATGATGTGTGTGTGTGTGTGTGTGTGTGTGTGTGTGTGTGTGTGTGTGTTTGTGACAAAAAAAGTAAAGGAGGCCTCGTTGAGAGGAGAGATGTTTAAACATTTTCTCCATCACTATATTTTTCAAGCGTCTTTGAGTACCAACACTCTATTTGGTAATATAAGACTGTTATAATAGTAACAGTTTTCACAGTAATGACAAGGGTCATTGAAAAAGTTTCTACGTTGGGGAACTTTTACCTAATGTGTAATAAAATCTTTGTTGACTTCCATGGGAGACCTTACTCCTTCCGAATGGAGAGAAGAAGAATGGGGTAGAAGTGAGGTAAGGGATGGAACTGGAGGAGAGGAAGGAGGAGATACTGTGCTTGGTATGTAAAATAAATAAATAAAAATAATAATGCTCAAAATTGTCAAATAAAAATAGAATTTCACATGTGGGATTTTTAAGTTAGTGATAATGTATGCACAGATCTCATAAAGTGTACAGGAAGCATCGATTTTTTTAATATTTGTGAATTTATCTGCCACTTTACATACATAAATACTAGCATTTGGTTTTTATAATTACACAATAATCTATTCCACAGGAGTAGATTCCCAAATATCTAGAGCTTACTCCATCCAGTACTATTTTCAGACACTACACAGAAAGCAAAAGTAATTGGTTCATATTTGCTACCACCCACTTCCTCTTTAAAAACATGGGAGCTGATTGATGACACAGTGAGCGCGTGTGAAGACAACAGCAAGGATTGTTTTGTTGTTTCACACCCCTACACCCCTGCCCATGCTATGGTGATGATCCATGCTGAGAGCCAGTTCACAGCATTTTTTTTTTTTTTTTTTTTAGTTACATGCATATGCTCAGCTTTTGATCTACAAAACGCAGGCACTATATATACCAAGGAGACTGGTTTGCTAAAGACACATGTTCTGTGCTGTTTGGATTTGTTTTTGGCTTTAACTAGTGTAAATACATTCTTGGAGTCATTCCATACCAGGATATCTGGCCATGAGCATCTAAGTCCTAGGCATTGATTCTTGCTATATCTAAGGGGCCTAACGCTGTACTTAGCCCATAACAGTCGGATGAATGGATCAAGTCACTCAATTAGCTTATTGAATTTAATGGTGAGTGCAAAATTTTTCTTATATATCTTTTTTCTTTCAAAATATCCTTGAAAAATTGATTCATCCCTTCTCTCAAGATCTGTTCTGTAAATCAAACTATTTTTGTTGTTTTGTTTTGTGTTGCCATTGTTTCATTGGGTAGATACCTGACTTCAGGCTGCAAAACTGCACTTGATACACTTTCCCTTATTAAGGGAAGGCAAGCATGCTCTGTTCTCATCCTAAGCACACAATGGTTACTAACAATGCCACACAGTACACCTTCACAGAAATGTTTTATCCTTATTTTAAAAGAGAGAAACTGGCCATTGCTTTTGCCTTCATTGGGCAGAAGTTTGTTTGTTTGTTGCGAACATAATAGATATTCTGTTTTGAAGCATAATTACAATTATTGTATTTCTGGTGAACATATTTAAAATGACAGTATTATTACTAAGAGTGAAATGTAGCTGGAAAATTGAAACATACATGAAATATCATATCTCAGGATATAGGATTAATGCTGTACTAAATTATGTTTTCTAGATATGTTAGCATTAAGAGATTTCTTGGAATTCCTAATACACCAGACACATGTTTTATCACAGTTGCAAACAGTTATAGCTGCTTGCATAAAAGAAAGTTAATTGTAGCAATGGAATACAAGCTGGCAGGAACCCCCTTTTATGTGCCATTTGTGGAATTATAAGAAGGCCAACTAGAACATGGCATGTTTATATGAGTGGG